TTTTTTTTTTACTTTTTTTGTCAATAAGAACAGGTTTGGGGCCTATCAAGAAATTTGGAGAAACTCCACACATCACCAATGGGACCTGCTGGTTATGGATTTTTTGTTAAGATATCGAACGTTAAGTGCTGTTTACTGTCGTTTGCAGATAAGTAAAATATGTGTTGCGTATGCTCATCTCAAACAATGTACTTTTTACCGTTGCATTAAATGGTTTCCAGCTTTGCAAAAAAGCGATAAATCAATAATGTTTTGGTTCAATTGTATTTGAACCGGAAATAAAGTGATTTGATGAATATCCATTTGTTATCGTTTTATTTCAATTATAGGGAGCTTTTATAAATAAGTGATTGAAGAAATCTACTCAATTATCATCATACTGCCAATCTAAATCAAGATCTACATTCTTTCAAAACATTATAGTTAAACATTAGTCTTCAAGAATTCGAATGGCTTTAATCTTGTCGTTCAATGGTCTCATTATAAATTGAATTCAGAAGTGATGTGAGACTGCGATTTTCTTTCTTATCGCACAATTTTTTCTTAATATGATGCAAGTAGCCACGTCGGTGATTGAATTCTTCACTACAAACATTACATTTAAATGGAATTACAAATACTTGAACCAAATTTTCGGAAAATTTTACATGTTTTTGGTGATGTGCCCGATTTGGTGATGTGCATTGTTCTGCTTTTAATTTCGCAATTACTTCTTGAGAATTTTCAATTCCATGACGAATAACTTGACATTTGTGGTTTTTCAGGTCCCCTGGTGTTCTGTATTTCTCAAGACACGCATTGCACTCATCATAAGTTGTGCTCGTCGATATTGTGGCTTCGTCAACCATTTTCAGTGGAGGTTCAGTTGATTTTGACGTTGACTGCTTCTCTGTTTTCTCATCATTTTTTGATAGTACGGAATTGAATACAGCGTCAATTTGATCTCTCAAGGATTTACTCTGCTTTGCCATGTTTCCATGATATTTTTCCTCAATCCGGCTTCAAAAGGTGATACACCTAAAAACTCAGTATAAATAAATAAAATCGTTTGATTGAAAGTATTGACAAAATGTTTACTTGTATGTAATCAGCGTCAAAATCCGATCATTCGCCAAAAAATTCACACAGAAGTGGAATTATAATAAATGATGTTGAAAAAAAATAATTCTCAAAACTTTTCATGCACTATTAAAATTATTTGCAATAAAAAACCGTCGTATAAGAATGTGCAAATGTATCATTATAAATGTTTTTAGAAATACGAATGTCAAAGTCAACAGTGCTGCCGTTTGGCGCTCCAAATGACATGCAACCAATTAGAATGAAACAACATCATCTATCTCTCTGTCTCTCACGCGCGTAAGAACTGTCAACATTTTGGGTGCAGCATATTCAACACCGATGCAAATGCTATTGGAACACCCTCCAAATCGGCAGCAAATTTTCAACTCCGCACAGATCTTGAATTGATACGATTTTTTTTGCTCTTGCCAGTGGTTGGTGTTTTTCAATTCAATTTTGGCATTGATAAATATAGAAACTTTCATTTTATGTTGGATAAATAATAATAATGAATTTTTGAATTTGAATTTATCGTTTCCCAGTAGAAAAAAAATGGAACAAGAACGTGATATGGACGCCTTGATAGAGATGATGCGTGGCAACTTGGGCGAGTGGGTGAAATTGATGGATCAATGCCAAGCGATGATTGGTGAGAGAGCTTACTTATTCATTTTTTCAACATAATTTAAAATCACACTCGATCATTTTTGTATGAACAGATCAGCTGAAGATGCATAAAAGAGAGTTGTCGACATCTTCATTGTCATTGGATGACATGTACCGAGAAGCATTGCGCGACAAGGAGCAAAAACAGATGGACGAAGCATTGGCCAAGTTTCGAAAGGAGAAAGAAGAAAGAAAAGACGAATGCAAGTCACAGAACGAAAGCACCAACAATGAGAAAAACTAAACCGTCTAAGACCAGTCGAGACCAGTTCCACCGTACTGCCACATAACAACAAGTCATGATTCATTGAATTGTGAACAAGTTTTCTTCATTACTAGCTTCATTAATACAATGACATCTATAGTGACATTCTTTTTACATTCGCACTCTCGCCATAGGAAAATGGTTCTATTTAAAGAAAAATTAAATACAAAAGAGATTTGTTGTACTATCCGCAAAATTTTTGATTTTATTTATTTATTGTATTTCTGTTTTTTTTTTGCTTTGCTTTTACGTTCGGTAAAGTATAATGGACCCATTCATTGACAAAAGTTCATCATTCTAACTGCTTAGTTCTTGATTTTCTTAATTTGATATTTTCTGCTGTGTCAACATAATAAACTCTGGGTTTTGTGCTTCGTTGACATTCTTACTGGAAAATGAATGTTTTTAACATTTTGTTTGAGCAATGAAAATGTCTCGAATTGTTGCATTCTGCGTTGGGCAAAATTTGATAGAAATGTCATATAATACGATGGTCGAGCTTTGGCGATTGGTTCGATTTTCATCCATTCTCGTCCCGATGTTATCATTGGTCAAACGATTTTCTCTAAGATTTACCCCAGACAATGATCGATTCCGCTAAATTTGAAGAACAACTTGAATTTATTCCCATTCTGTCAAATATTTTTGATTTCAACATTTATCTGCTACAAAAGTTTGACGTTTCGTTCTTCGTTGACATTCTTAGTGTAAACTAAAAGCTGTATCTCAAAAGGACGGTTCACAGCAATGAAGAGCGTAAAGCACAATTCTCAGTCGTGGCACATCTTTCAAACATTTCATTTTATGTCAAAATGTGAACAAAACTTTGTATTTGTCATTCGCTACCATACAGCATCCAACGAAACAAGTTCAACAACATTCTGTCTCGAAACAAAAACATTGTATTATTTTTCTGGCGACCATTTTTGATGGTTAGTTTTTTCATTTTTAAAAACTAAATTGAAAATTCCGAAAATTTATCTTCCCAAAAAAAAATTATCTTCTTTTTGGTTTTATAAAAATCTATTGATATTTTAAATTCCAGAGCAAAGAAGAATGTCT